TGAAACGTCTTCAAGCAACTTAAAGAAGTCCAGACGCTTTTCTTTGCAAGCTCCTTTGACTACGATGACCTGGATGACTGAGAACCTTCACAGACATACCTCCATTGGATACCTTGGATCACCCAGGAGAAGCTGGCCTGGGTGTTTTCACACCAACAGTGTTTATTCTGTTTAAATCGAACCCTGCTTCATGTCCCCCTTGGTGCAGTTCGTTTATGCAGATGTGAGCACTGTGATCGCAAAACAACTGAACTCCAGAGCGTTTCATTTACAGGTGTAAGTTTGAGCTAAAAGCCTTCTGCTGGCTGCGCAGGCTTTGCAGGGTACACCACCAGGAGTACAGCCTAGCTGTAAAATTAATGTATATTATCCACGTCGTCCACTTGGCCAAAACCCACAACCTAATGTTACTTTTGTTGCTCCTCTCCCAGACACATCTGACCAATAAGCGGACTAAACATTCTCACATAGTTTATGGTGGCACAATGCAGATCGTTCTCACCAACTAATTCAGAGCAGAATAAACTAACTTAAATTAAATCAACAAAGTTTGAAAAACATGGCAACCCGATCAACTCAACGTAAAGGATTAGAAAATTATTTTAACCCAGAAGGTGTTGTGGCTAGAAGATGATCTTGGTATAAAAATGCAGTCAGCAAACAGTTTTTGCAGACTGTGAGCAGCATCACAGGACCTATATCCCATCATACTGATGAGTAGTGTTGGTTATAAAGACTATTCTGATAAACAAAACTTAGATTCCCTTTGGAGCGGGTGTAACACTGAGTTGTTTGCAGAGCTTAAATCGTTTTTCAGTGCAGACTTTTTTGTATATCTCTTGTATTCGTGAAGCTACGAGGACTCAAAAATATTTCGACCCTGTTGCACCGCACACTAAGGCACAGGCTTATGAACTACTGGCTTTGTTTGTATGGGGACACTTTGCTTGAATGGCTGCAGCCACTGCAGTAACATAAAACTGACTGGAACTGTTAAATACCAATTACTTCATAACTGAGCTGATGCTGTTCTCCTCACCTCTTTAATGTGCTTGGTGTGCAGAGGATGGTAGAAAATATATTTGTTCTGTCCAGCTAAATACAAATTAAATGTTCCAGCACACCAGAACAAACTGTGAGAGGAAGGTGGAGGAAACCTAAAACATGCAAACTCAATACAGAAACCTCAACTGGGATTCAAACGAACAACCTCTTTGCTACAAGGTAGGAATAGGAGGAATACAAAGAACATTAAAGATAAAGCAACTCAAATTTCCCATTGGCATGAAGCTATTTAAGTCACCAGTCAGTTTATTCAGGTTTCTCACCTTTGCCTTCTGGATATCTCACACTCTACTTTGACCTTTAAAGCAAAGAGCTCATTCTTGCCGAACTTGTTTTTCCCCTTTCATGCAGCAGAGGAAACTCAGAGTGAGATCTGCTCTCAGGGAAATGTTGGCCTTATGTGTGGAGGTTTTCTGTTACAGCCAAATGTAGCTGCTTCTTAAAAACTAGTAACAAGTGGTAAAGTTACAATCTGGGACTCAAAAATTGTGTTGGTACGGTATATTAGTATATACAGTGTTGGGAAGGTTACTTTTAAAATGTATTCCATTACAGATTACAGATTACATGCCCCAAAATGTATTCTGTAACATATTCCGTTACGTTACTCAATGAGAGTAACGTATTCTGAATACTTTGGATTACTTAATATATTATCATGCTGTTT